GAAAGCCCCTTCATGACACAATGAAACCTGTCACGAGAAACTTGTGACACCCTACCAGGCAAAGGCGACCATAAGGGAATCGTATGATAGAACTCAACAGTACCCTTCGGCCAGGACGCCGATCTCCAGAAATCAGGACGTCTAGCCCACTCTACAAACTACCATCAAGAAGCCCTGCCAAACCCTGCAAAAAAGTACCATACTGTCAAAAAAACCATTGAACCCTCAACCCCAAACCCGATGATACATCCGACCTAATTTTTAAAGCCCCTCTAAGTTCAAGAACCGTAAGCCCGAAACCCTAAACCCTAAACTAAGCCCGAAACCCAAGGCCTTTCCCAGGACGCCTTTATCTCGAGAAATCAGGCCGTCGTCCTCCTGCGCAAAGGGCTCCAACGGCGGGATGAAAGTGGGGTGGGGTACTTAAAGGCTCATGGGACTTAGTAAGTAAGGTTCTAAGTAGGTTATAATTAGGATAACCCCACTTAGGGGACTTATAACCCCAGTTATAATCTACGTACTAAGTCCCATGATCCTCTAAGTAATCCCCAAGGTCGAGTCCTTATTTGAGGGATCCCTGAAATCCCTCATCTTTAATTTAAACCCTACTCCCTCAACCCTGAACCCTAAATCCTCATCCCTACACCCTAATCCCGCATCCCTACACCCTGACTCCTAAACCCTGAACCCTAATTCCCCATCCCTAAGCCCCACTCCCCAGACCCGGAATCCTCATCCCTCATCCCGCAACCTCGAAATTCCACTCCTTCATCCCAACACCCCTAAACCCTAAACCTAAACTACCCAGAGATCCCAATAACCCGTAATTAAGGAATATACCTGAAATCATAGTATTAAGGCCTCTATAGTTTAAGGTACATTCCTTAATCTAGGATACACAGTAACCTAAGAATAAAAAGGCTTCTCTTTTTGGTATTGGGTAACTAAGGAACCTAGGACTACAAAAAGGGAATAAGGGTACTACTGAGCATCCTAGTAATTATCCTTATGGTATATACTTAGACCCCCAAAATACCCTATAAGTATATACCATAATGAATTAAGGGGTATTGGGATCTCTGGGTGAACCCCATGGCCCCCTCCTGCGGGCCGCTTTCGCGCGGGGGCGCTGCGAGGGGCCCAGGGTGGCGCTGGGAAGACCTGGCAGAGGCTCGGAGGGTCCTCTTCAAAAGAAAGAGTTCGGGGTTTAGGGTTTAGGGTTTAGGGGTTTAGGGGTTTAGGGTTTTAGGGTTTAGGGGTTTAGGGTTTAGGGTTTAGGGTTTAGGGGTTTAGGGTTTAGGGTTAAGGGATTTTGGGGGGTTTAGGGGTTCAGAGGTTTAGTTTCGGGTTCAGGGTTTAGAGCTTGGGCTTTCGGGTTCAGGGGTGTTGGGGCTTAGGGCTTAGAAGTTTAGGGTTTGACCCCTCCTTTACAAACAGGTTCCGGGCTGAGGCATTCATGATTTTTGTATCTCTTACTTAAAGGCTCATGGGACTTAGTAAGTAAGGTTATAAGTAGGTTATAATTAGGATAACCCCACTTAGGGGACTTATAACCGCAGTTATAACCTACTTACTAAGTCCCATGATCCTATAAGTACGACAAGGTTCAGGGCTTAAGGCTTGGGTTTGTTGCTAACTTTGCTCTGGGTTTGTATGGCTCTATGGCGGGGTTGTGTTGCTGATGAGGGCTGCCACGGTGTTCATTCTTGCGGTTCAGGATTAGTACAGGGGCCTCAATACTGAGACTGGGGTTCTAAGTGAGTATGCTATATCATAAGAGCATACTACAGAACTATGAGCGAAGGCTGTTTCACAAGGCAATCTCCACGAGAAAGTGTACCGAAATGCTTGCACGCTTGCTAGGTCGCAGTCTCAGCACGGCGGTAAAGCCATCACTGACACATGCAGTGCTGCCCGCTCACAACGGAAAACCATCAACCTAGTGTGTTCCAGGGCTTCGGAAAGTTCTTTCACGAGCCACTGGCCCGAAGATCGGCAGTTTAGTGAGCAGGTAGGAGGACTAACCGAACCCGAGAATCTCTTGTTGAGGAGCCTAGACCAGTATCGTCAACGGATTCAGCACTACTACTACTACTACTACTACTACTACTACTACTACTACTACTACTACTACTACTACTACTACTACTACTACTACTACTACTACTACTACTACTACTACTACTATATACTACTACTACTACTACTACTACTACTACTACTACTACTACTACTACTACTACTACTACTACTACTACTACCTAAACCCTATACTCTAATGATCAACCACCCCCCATTGCATGACCCCGGATGCCATGGGCCTTAGTCAATCGAATGGTGTTTCGAGGATATCAATGGCACGTTTAGCCCGATAGAGCCCCTACAGGAAACTCCAGAAAGATGGAATATGGTTTCATGGTAGGATCCCCTCTAATTTAAATTTACCATAGAAAGGTTGGGATAATCATATTCCAACTTTCTGGCTTTTACCTTAAAGGAACCCTACAAACCCCTTAAAGGAGCCCTACAGATCCCTTAACGGAACCCTACAGATCCCTTGAAGGAACCCTCAAACTCCGACCTGGAAAATCCCACTCCCACAACTTAGCGTTCCGGAAAGTCGGGGGCTGGGGTCTGGAGCTTGAGAGACTACAAGTATACTAGGAATCCCTAAAGCCCTAAAGCATAGGAAAGAGTTTAGGGTTTAGGATTTGGAGTATATACTACTAGTCTACACTACTTAGTCAGGTTCATATATGAAAAGTTTCACGCTCAGTGTGACCCCAAGTCGCCATAATAAAAGAATCACGGTTGGAAGAGGGGAGCAAAACGCAGCCAGAAGTGCCCCAAAGAATGGCCAGGCTTTCTACGGTCACTGGAGAATCCTCACGCCAGGACATTATCGAAACAGAGATTCTCAAATGCCGCTCGATTAGGGTTTAGGCTTAGGGTTTGAACGATCGTATTCATAGTTGATGGCAGTGGGAAGATCGGTGCATGGATGTTCTCCACGGGAGCCTAAGCCAGAAGTCAGTAGCTAAACTCTAAACCCTTACTACTCTGGCTTTGCCAAGTCATGGTCTAGGATACCCAGTAACCTAAGAATAAAAAGGCCTCTCTTTTTGGTATTGGGTAACTTTATAAGGAACCTAGGACTACAAAAAGGGAATAAGGGTACTACTGGGCATCCTAGTTAACGTCTCAGTAGAAAGATGCCGGGTTTGGGTTCAGGAGGAGGGAAATACAGCAAATCGAATCTAGACCCAAGAGTAACCTAGGAATAAAAAGGGTGCCCTTTTTGGTTTTATAGGGGCTCATAAGGGAACCTGAACCCTAAAAAAGGGAATAAGGGCCTACTCTGGTTAACGTCTCAGTAGAAAGATGCCGGGTTTGGGTTCAGGAGGGAAATACAGGGTTTAGGGTTTAGGGGTTTAGGGTTTAGGGTTTAGGGTTTAGGCAAATCGAATCCTTCAAGCACCGAAGGCCTGACCAGTAATTCCCGAAACCTACCACCGACCCCAAGTCCCCACCAAAGTACTTCCTTTTCGGGGCTCCTATATAGAATCCTAGAAGGTAATCCCAAAAAGGAACTACTTTGGGGCTTCTGTGTAATTTTGCTTACCCTGAACCCTAAACCCTAAACCTTTCTCCGACTTTGGGCTTCAGGTTCCCATGATACCTTACAGCAATTGTAAGCCCGGCTTGAAGCTTCCAGCTTAGGGCTCAGGTCTTCGGGGCCCAGAGATTAAAGTGGTCATGCCGGTCTTGGGTTTAGAGTTTAGGGTTTAGGGTTTGGACTTCAGGGCTTTTATAGCTTAGAGCTTCAGGACTCTAGTAGTGCGTTGATGGAGCGGTTTTGGAAGGAGCGGCGGTGGAATGTAGGGTCCTGATCAAAAAAAGAACCCGTCTCGCATACGGGCTTTTGGTGAGGACGGTAGAGTCATGACACTCTTACCAGATTCACTTGTGTAAGCAAGGGGTCTCGCAGCACATTACAGCAGTTATATTCATAGTACTATAGAATAGGGTCTCGTGGCATATTGAGGTTTAGCTATAATAACAAGGAGCCCGGAGGAGCAATTTTCATGTAACTGTTGAAGGCCACTATAACTGTCAGTGGTATGGTGGAGGTCTCCTTCAAATCCTAAACCCCTAAACCCTCAACCGTTTCACATGGACCCGTCCTTGCAAAAGTGGGGTTCGATCAGCTCTTTCTGCCGCTTCTCGTCGAAGGTCAAGACACGCTCACCGGGAACCTCGCTGGTGGGTTATAGGGTGGCTGAATGTAGGGGCCGTAAAAATTAGAATAGGGTTTTGGGGTAGGTTCTATTAGACTTATAACTGTACTAATGAACCCCAAAATAGTATTGGTAACTATTAAGGCTTCGATATTATGTAGGCAAACAAAGGCTAAACGTGCCCCCTACTCACTCGACTGCACAAGGGTGTACACCCGAAACCCCCAGACTAGGATCCTGCTGGGCGTTTTGGAATTTCGACAGGGATCCAGCACCCTACACCCTAAACCCTATCCAGCACCCCCTTAAAGAAGCAATTCTTCAACATACCATCAGCGACTCCTGTCGGAAGGAGTCTCAGGGCCATTTCAAAGGGTTTAAGCGCTTTAGGTTCTACATAACCCTAGGTCCAAGTACCGAAATCGTAGGCTTTCAGGTCCCCAAAAACATTCAGAGCATGGGCTTTGGGGCCTAAAGCCCTACTATTTGGGCAGTTGGACACTTAGGGTAATACACTTCGATAGCTTGATTTGAATGGGTAGTTCACTAAATTGGGGTACCCTTCAAGGTCCTTTGTTATAATTATAGGATCCTTAAGGGAGGGTTGTTCAAGGGGGGAGGGTAAAAGGAATCCTTAGGGGACTGTATATAAGGGAACCTTAGGGAGTACTAGGGAGGATTAGGGATCACTAGGCTATATACCCCCCTTGGACCCCCCTCCCTTAAGGATACTACAATATAAGGGGCCGAAAGTGGAACCTACTTTAGAGAACTACCCTTCGAACCCCTTTAGAAACCTTATGGAAATCCTTCTCGATCCCTTGAAGGAAGCCTACAACGGGACCCTGATTTAAAGAACTACCCAAATACCCCTAAACCCCTGCACCCTAAACCCGAAACCCCCATATGGATCCCTTTAAAGGAACCCTAAACCCCTAAACCCTATTTGCGGAAACCCCCCCCCTGATACTTAAGGCTTCTTTGGCTCTTCGCCTCGGGTCGAAACCCGGCTCTGTCTCGCTTTCTTGCGGCTTTTCTTGGGTTTCGGGGGCCTCTTTCAAGGGGGGTTTAGGGTTTAGGGTTTAGGGCTTAGGGTTTAAGGGTTTAAGGGTTTAGGGTTCAGGGCTTAGGGTTTCGGGGTTAGGGTTTCGGGGTTTAGGGTTTAGGGTTTAGGGTTTAGGGCTTAGGGTTTAGGGTTTAGGGGGTTCCTTCAAGGGGATCTACGAGGGATTAGGGGTTAGGGCTTTGTAGGGCACAACGACGACATCAACCGTTACCCTCAAACCCTGCCGGGCCCACTTGTACGATACCTTCTCGACATGCACGTATGGCTGTGACGTCAGGTTCGCAAAACACTGAACCGAGCGCCGGACAAAGAAGTCGTCCCAAATCTTGCACCACACTTCGCTCGTCATTTCCTCCTTGGGATTGCCATCCTGACAGCAAGTTTTGGTAGCATTGACGAGGGCTTAACTCAAGCCTGGGGATCCCGGGCTTAACGGTTTGGGGCTCAGGGGTTGAGGCTGCAAGATCGAACTTCGGAACTGGAGGTAAACAGGCATTCAAGATTCTAAGATGATTACAATAAGGAGCCCCCCAAAATGGTATAGGTAATCATTACGGCCCCTTCTATCGGTCCCTTCTAGTGGCCCTTATAGTAACCCTGACAGACCCCTTTAAAGGAACCCGAGTCTGTACTTATAATAAGATAGTTGTTAAGATCCCTCGTGGTTTAGGGCTTAGGGTTTTAGGGTTTAGGGCGTTAGGGCTTAGGGTGTTAGGGCTTAGGGTTTAGGGTTTAGGGTTAGGGCTTAGGGATTAGGGCTTAAGATCTGAGACCCGGGGGTCGTCACAGTCTAAACTCTGAACCCCCCCCCCCTCTCAGGACCTGATCCCTAAATGCTGCATCGGCCGCACAGTCGAGATATGGGCTTCGAAACGATCAGCTTTAATTCAGGGTTTGTCATATACTGTGGTATATTTATGTAAGATCAGCACTATATCCGGATGTTAACGTTCATTCAAACCTCTAATATGGGGGCCTGAATAATTACCTACAGTATTTTGGGGCTTCCCCATTATAACTATCTATAGTAGAATGGGCCCCAAAACCCTGCTCTGATTCTTAAGGCCCCTTGTTTTTTGTAGTAAGGCTTCCCCACCTTGACTTGGCCATCCACGATCACAGAGTCCCCACGGTACGTCTCCTGGGCGGAGAGTATCGGACGAGTCTGGGCTTCATACAGGTTAAAATGCAGGCGCCTTTTTCGTTTAGGGTTTAGGGTTTAGGGTTTAGGGTTTAGGGTTAGAATAGGTTGTTGTGTTTTGTTGTGGGGTTCTTTTCTTCATTGTAGGCTTTTGGAGGGCGCCTTATTGTAATCATAGGTTTGGGGGGCTCCTTATTCATTGGAATTATAGTATGATATACCCCAAACACAATTCTAATTATCAAGAGCCCTACCATTACAAGTCTTAGGGTAAAAAACCATCCAGTGGAATAATAGAGCATACAAGCACGATGCGGGACTGATGCTCTTGTGTTTAGAAAAATTTGCTCATGCAGGCTCCTAAACCCGAACCCCAGAAAAAATCTAGTCTCTAAACCCCAAGTTTGCAAGAACTCTACTGAAACTCTAAACCCTAAACCCTACAGTAGCCTTATAGTAACCCTTATAGAGCCCTTAAAGGAACCCTTAAAGGAGCCCTCCACCTTGAACCCTGCATTCCTTTTGTGCAGCCCCCACTCCGCTTTGAAGTTGGCCAGGACCAACTTAAACTGCTGCACCACCGTGTCTTTCCTTTGGGGACTTGGGGTACTGTAGGAACCTGATTAGCCAACATTGGGCCTTTATCAGGGTTCCTTGCATGAATCCTACTATTTTGGGGTTAAAGGCCCAAGGTTTCTTAACCAGGTTCCTACATTAGCACGGCTAGGCATCTAAAGCTGTGGAAGACATTTTGAAGGGCTTTATCGAGTTGTAAACTACAGGGCTCGATACAGACAGTTGAAGAAGCTTGCTTCTAGCATTTCGAGGTCGGCGCGGTGGTATGGTCGAGTGCTTACTTGGATGTTGCGGGCTTACAAAACCCTGAACCCTAAAGCACTCTGTCCTGTGCCCTAAACACTGATAGTGATAATGGATGAATCTTGAGCCCGGCTTCCCAGAATTGCAATAGGGTTCCGAAAAAGGGGCTTGTAAGGGCCAGTATAAGGGCTTAGTATAGGGGCATTAATAAGCATAGGGCTTTAGGCCCAGATAACCGTAAACCCCAGACTGCAAACCAAGAAAACAAAAGACTAGTCCCGAAGCCCACAACAAACCCAAGCCCGAGCCTCCGAGTCCACGAATCCAACCGTCACATCCCCAAACCCTAAACCCCCTCCCTCTCCCCAAAAGCCCCTAAACTCCAAATACTAAACCCCTATACCCTAGCCTCCAAAGCCTTATAGATCCCTTCGAAGGAACCCCACAAACGCTAAACACCAAATTGGAGATCCGCCCTTGGTCGAGGTACTGTCGCACGAGGTCCTCCACCTGCTGCCTGGCGCGCTCGAACTCCGGCGGCACCTCGAAAGCCGACTCGCTGGTTTCTTGGGATATGAGGTCTAGCTTCGGGTTTAGGGTTTTAGGTTCAGGAAGGGGGCCTTTTTTTTAGGGTTTTTCGGATTGAGGAGTCCAGGACGTCCTTTTCTATGTGATTCTATGCGTGTTTGCTCTTGGTTGCTGTTGTCTGTGCGTTGGTGGTTCTTGGTTTTCACTGACAGCCTGTGGCAACTTGGACGGCTTACGTTAACCCTAAGGGTCCAAAATAATCACACACCCTCCCAAACACTCACCTACAGAACTACTATCCTAAACAAAAGTATCTAGTTCTCGGGTCCTTTGGACCCGTGGAACAAGGGTAGAGGTTCTCAGGTCTAAAAACCTGAGTCCCTGGCCCGAACAGCTTAAGAATGTGACAGGGCTAGGAGTACATGAGCGCACTCAACAACGTTATCGACCGGCTGGGACAACACCAACCATCTCAATGGCCTACACGGAAAGGGTTTGTAGTTGCAGAAGGCAGCCTTAGGATTGAGACCAGGGGCTTACCCAAAGGCCCCAAAGTAGTTCCTTTTTGGGAGTACCTTATAGGATTCCATATATGAACCCCCAAAAGGAACTACTTTGGGGCCTTTGGGTAGAGGCTTAGACTCTGGAACTCCTGTGGGCTAGGTTGAACCGGTCATTCTGGTTGGTGGCACGCTAAAGGCGTGATGGCTTCGGCGTTGGGATCTCGGCCTTAAAGTTTTGATCGGATGCTTCGCGAGTGAATGGGGGAAGGGAGATCTTGCTAGGGTTTAGGGTTTAGGGCTCCATGCACGAGGTTCTTATGGAAGGTAGTGATGATTGGGCACAAGACCCGTCTCTACACTCGCAAGCCCGATGCTCCAAGACTTAGGAAGTCGGCTGCTGTTCCTAGTAACACAAGAGAAATACAGACACAATGACAAACATTTCTCGCCTAGGGAGCCCTGTACACACTAGCCCCATTACCAACCTTACAGTAGAGGCCAGAAAGTTGGAATATCATTATCGTAACCCCTTTAAGGTAAATTATAGGGGATCCTACCATTAATCCATATTCCAACTTTCTGGAGTTCCCTTTACTTCAAACCAGGAACTGACACCCTCCAGGTCAGACTGGAAGTCTTATGCTCCTCAAACCCTCGACTCGAACTGCAAGATATATCCCGGACTTGTGAAACGTAGAACAATTGGTGCGAAGCGACTGCTTTCAATAAGCCCTCTAGACCTCAAGAAGGTGTCCGAAAAGGTAGTGCGTCTGGAGCTTAGGCTTCGGCCTTGTATAGGTTTGGGGCTTATGTAATTATATGGGTCCTCTGGATCAGATCCTTTTTCTGTTGAGTGTAGAGCCTAGGACTTAGGGCTAGCTTCGTTTAGGGTGGCCTCGGACATGTAATGTTAAAGACCTACTACTTGGAATAGGTTTTGATATTCACTAGCGGCATTATTCCCCGACTTCCATGTTAAGGGACCCAGCTAGACCCCAAAGGCGGGCCTCAACGACGAACTTGTCGGCTGGATCGGACTGGGCATGCAGAATGAGGCAAGGTTCCAGAGTATGCCCGTGAACATGACTTGTACCGCTCTGCCCATCATCCAAGTTGAGTAAGCAGGCCCTACAATGACACTTCTAAATTCTTAACCCTGCGGCCTGAATCAAACGTGCAAAAAGCTTCTACTGGCAACCAAGCCAGGGTTGAAAGCACGTCAAGATGGCCTCTGGTTGTGGTTTGGGCTTAGGGCTTTGGAGCTTTAAGGGTTTAGGGGTTTATTTTTCTGTCACTTCCCCTTGCCGACTTCCCAATCACGGATGCCTAAACCCTAAACCCCAAGATGCGGGAAACCGGATTTTCCGGACCAGAAGTTGGTGCATAAACAAACCCAAGCCGTAAACCTCAGAAAGTTCTATTTGCTTAAGAACCCCCAAAGAATAAAAAATATATTCCTTATGGGGGTAATATAGGGATGATTATTTTTACTTTTTGGGGGTTTCTTAAGCAAATAGTAGGAAAGTTCAAGCCCCAACACCAACCCCAGGATCTCGGTATAGGTTAAGAACCCCTTTAAGAAATTATGCTATGCTAATCAAAGAATCTAATTGGGACATACCCCCTTTTGGGATCTATACTATAGTGTAGGATATATAAAGGAGTGAGGAAAATTGCGTGCTAAGGAGCACTCAGGATAGTGCAGTGCCTTGTGCAATTCGGAGCTGGGCCCTCGCTGACTTCGCCGCCCGAAAGCTTCAGTTCAGGGTGGGCGCCTCCGTACCTTAACCTACCAGAACCTACCTTTTTTTTGTAGGGTCCCTATAAATCTCATATTAGGGTTTATAATAAGAACCTACAAAAAAGTAGGATTTAGTAGGTCTGGGTAGGGTCAGGTTGCCTGTGAGATGTTAGGCGCCGAGCAACCCGAACACCGAGCATCTGAAATTCTCCCAATCCACCGCACCCTATAAACCCTAAACCCTAGGCCCTCAGCCCAAAACCCCTAAACCCCGAAAGCCTAAACCCTAAACCGTAAACCCTAAACACTAAACCCGAAACCGCTAAACCCTAAACCCTGAAGCCCGAACACCCAACTATTCCGGCAGCCCGGCTGCGATGAGCTTCAAGCCATCCTGTGGGGCTGCAGGCTGGACCACGGCAGGCACGGTATAGAGTTTGGGGCTTAGGGGCTTAGGGGTTTAGGGGCTTAGGGTTTAGGGGTTTAGGGGTTTTGGGGTTTAGTAGGGGTTTAGGGCTTCGGGTATAGGGGGTTGAATTCGGGGTTTAGGGCTTGGGGTTTAGGGTGTTTAGGGTTTACGGGTTTCAGCCACTTCATCAGCAGGGTGTCGCGGTATGTCATTCCATGCCGATAAGAGGGCGCCTCGGGAATACCGAGCATTTAGGCTCATGGTCTTGCTTTCCAGTCTTACCATGTGCTGATATTTTTCATGTGCATGCACATAAAAAGAAGCAGCACAGTGTGCCTACAGGATCACGATGGTCAAAGGCACCTGCCTGCTAGCAGCTACCCCGTGCACTTGCACGGCTACCGGCCCTGGCCCTCTGGAGCGGGTGCGGGTGCCAGGGCCAGTAGTGCCAGTGCCAGTGGAGGAGGAGGAGCAGTCGTTGTAGCAGCAGCAGCAGAAGTAGCAGGAGGCGGAGGAGGAGGAGGAGGAGGAGGAGGAGCAGTAAGTAGCAGCAATCGTCACGATGCCCCCAAGGTCTACAGTCCAGAGCCTCAGACGCCAAAGCCCTGCTTTTGGGTTTTAGGGCGAACGCAAGAACCTAAATCCGATGGGGAAAAGTCAGCTTAGCCCACAAAACAGTACACCCGTAAAGCCGCTATAAGCAAAAGGACCCATATATAGAGCCTTTCTAGATAGGAATCCTTTGAAGAACCATTCAAAGGCCCTGAGAGCCCCTGTCCCTTTGAGTCCTTGAGCTCCTGGTGACGTGCCGAGAACTCGCTCTTGAGCTGCATTAGCTGCCTTGTCTATGGTAGAATGCATAAAAATCAGATTTAAGGCTTCACAGGTTGATAAAGGTGTCTAAGTCTAACTATGAACAATGTAGGGGCCTTAATAGATGGAATAGGGTTTGGGGTACATTATTTTCTACTTCAATACAATAAGGAGCCCTACGGAAGATTATTGGCAATTGTTCCGAACCTGACCTTACTCATATTCTGAAGTTGTATATGAGGTCTGTACACCGCACGCCGTAGGGTTGAGTAGGGTTGTGGAAGGTACTGTGGGCCCGAATAGGTTGTGGCTTTTAAAGCTACATCGTGCTGTTGCACAGCTTTCAAATCCCCAAAGAGAATACTGCCAATTGCCGGCCCCACTCTCTAGCTAGATATGGACTAGGATACCCAGTAACCCACGAATAAAAAGGCCTCTCTTTTTGGTATTGGGTAACTTTATAAGGAACCTAAGACTACAAAAAGGGAATAAGGGTACTACTGGGCATCCTAGTGGAGCTTTCAGGGGAAGTATACCGGCTTCATAGGGTGGCACCTCAAAGCCCGAAGAAAAAACCCCACACCCTGAACCCTACCCAGGGGCCCCAAAGTAGTTCCTTTTTAGGTAGTATATTAAAGTCCCTGACCAAAAAAGAGGACACACCCAAAAAGGAACTACTTTGGGGCCCCTGGGTAAACCCTAACGCCTAAACTCCAAAACCTGAACTCTAAACTCTCCGCCAGAGCGACTTATCGAGCTCCTCTATCTGGACGCGAACGCTCTTCCTGCGACGGTGTCGAGGGCTTCTATGCTCCAGCCCGTAGGGTTTCCGGTGGAGGGTTCAGGGTTTCGGGCATACGGAGCTTTGAATGGGAGTTTCTGAAAATAGGGACCCTAATCGTAGTACCTTGAATAGTGGGATCCTTATTACAAGGACCCCGAAAATAAGGTACCCCTATTTTCGGAAACTCCCAAATCATGGCTTGATCATAGCGAGGGGCACCTCAGACAGGACACCAGTTACCAATTGAAGAAACGGTCCAGGGGAGTAGGGCTTATAGAATTTATGCAATTAGGCACGACTAAATGGACGCCTGCAGGATTCATCCATGTATCGAACCTACCCCTGCGCGGAATGCACCATGAATCCTGAACCTCCAGACCCGAACCACACACTGACATCCCTGGCGCCTGATCCACGAAGCCTCGAACACAAAAGTATCCAGGTCGTCACAGCCTACTGCAGCTCTGAAACCCTAAAACTCGAAACCCTCAACCCCTTAGAAGGGAAGAAGTTCACAAAAATGGTACCTCACGAAAATCCCAAATAGCGGCATTCCCTATGCGAAGGACCGACCCAATAGTGCATTCTGTTTCTGTAGGCTCCCCAGAGCCTCCTCATTATAAGGGTAGCCTTGTTTATTACTGTTTCCGCTCTTCCCCTGAAATCTCCACAACAAACAGGAGCTACACCGTGTCTCAGAAAACTGAACCCCAAAAGTTGAACTGCCCTAAACCCCTCAACCCGAACCCCTGTAACCTAAACCCTACACAACCTACTCCCCTAAACCCTTGTCCTTTTAGAAATAATAGACAGAGCCCTATACCTATATCCCTTAGTAGGAATTATTTAAGGAGGTCTACTAGCCGGTCTGTTTATTCTTTTGGGGGAACCATGAAAAAGGACAAGGCTGACTCCCCTAAACCCTAAACCCTTAACCCTAAAACCCTAAACCCTAAACCCTTAACCCTAAAACCCTAAACCCTAAACCCCGGAACTCGAAGCCAGGGCCTGATTTGGGGAACACCCTGGGCATCTTTGCCCAGGCGCCGCTGAACCAGACCGAACCTCTGCCCACCCAGGCATTTGGGGTGATTGAGGTCTGCCCAAAGGCCCCAAGTAGTTCCTTTTTGGGATTACCTTGTAGGATTCTATATATGAACCCCAAAAAGGAACTACTTTGGGGCCCTTGGGTAAGCTACAGAGGCGTAGGGCTTTAGGGGTTGATTAGTTTTAAGCTAAAAAGGGGTCTAGGGTCGAGGTGTTTAGGTCTAGGGGTTTAGCGGTTTAGGCTTTAGGGCTTTAGGGCTTAGGGTTTTATTAGGTCTTTAGGAGCTTCGAGGGGAAGGTTTGGGGTGTTGGGTTTAGGTTGTCGGATTTATATAGGGGTTTTGGGGCGTTTTTAAGAGAGGTGCCACGAGTGGGGCGCTTCGAACTAGAACTTTTGAGAGTTTGAACGTATTATATATGTTGGACGAGATTGGAGAGTTGAAAGTTTGAAAAGATTGGAGAATGAAGAGTTTGAAGTTTGAAAGTTTCAGAGTTTCGAGTTTGAAAGTGGGCGCGAGTTTGGAGTGTGAAAGCTTGAATTGGAATCCAGCTTGGAAGCTTGAAGCCGCGACAAGGGAGCAAGGTGAAGGACCGCTGGAGAACGCGTAGGGCGTAGGGGTTCACAGAGCAGCCCTCAGGCTCGAGTTCGATAGTTTGAGAGCTTGGAGTTTGAAACTTTGAAACCCAGGGAGCTTGAAAGTCTAAAAGCTCGAAAGTTTCACAGTTCGATAGCTCGAAAAGTTTCAAGCTTTGAGGGGCTGAAGGTTTGAACTTTGCAAACTTCGAGAGTCTGAAAGTTCGAGAGACGTGGAGTTCGAATGTGTGAGGGTTTGGGAGTTTGAAGGTTTGTAAGTTGGAAGAGTTGGAAGAGTTTGAAGATTAGATGCATTGAAAGTTCGAGTTTGAAACCATGTTGACGTCCTCATTTTAGGGCCTGGGCTCAGTAACGCCAACATGCACACGCGGATGTTCGTAAAAAATCGCGCCCCCTTTGATGTGTGATCTCACAACAGACACACGCCGATGAGTCGCACCCCCCGTGATGTGTGATCTCACAACGAACACACGCCGATGCCAGTAACAAATCGTACCCGCTGTGATGTGTGATCTCGCAACATACACAGGCCGATGCCTGTAACGATGTGTGATCTGCATCTGATCATACACACGACGATGCCCGTAATAAACCGTACTCCCTGTCCTGTGTGATCTACCAATAGACACACGCCGATGCCCGAAACAAACTACTACCTCGACGACCGCGACTACTACTACTACTACCACCACTACCACTACCACTACTACTACTACTACTACTACTACTACTACTACTACTACTACTACTACTACTACTACTACAACTACTAGTACAACAACAACAACTACTACTACTACTACTACTACTACTACTACTACCTACTACCTACTACCTACTACCTACTACCTACTACCTACTACCTACTACCTACTACCTACTACACCTACTACCTACTACACCTACTACCTACCACCTACCACCTACTACCTACTACCTACTACCTACTACCTACTACCTACTACCTACTACCTACGACCTACTACCTACTACCTACTACCTACTACCTACTACCTACTACCTACTACCTACTACCTACTACCTACTACCTACTACCTCCTACCTACTACCTACTACCTACTACCTACTACTACTACTACTACTACTACTACTACTACTACTACTACTACTACTACTACTACTACTACTACTACGACTACGACTACGACTACGACTACGACTACTACTACTACTACTACTACTACTACTACTACTACTACTACTACTGCTGCCTGCCGAGCCGGTGTGCTTAGGATATATTGCGAACGGGTATGATGTTCGGAACCGCCAAATGAGGGAGCATGTCTAAGATATATGTGATGAAGCGAAATTACCAAATGAGGGGGGCGTGCTTGAGATATACGGTGAACCGGAACCGACAAAAAGAGAAGGAGTGTGTAAGATAGATAAATAGCCGAAACCACCAAAAGAGGAAGCGAAATATGATGAACCGAAACGCTAAATGAGGGGTGTGCTTAAGATCGCCAACTGAAAGGGCGTGTTTAAGACATACGATGTGCCCAAAATCGCCAAATGGGGGAGGGGGGCATAATTAAGGTATATGGTGAGGCGCTATGATGACCGGAATCGCCAAATGAGGGTGGATGCTTAAGATATACGGTGAACCGGAATCGCGAAAAGACAGGGCGTGTTTAAGATCTACAATTGAGCTTGCGAACAACATCCATACAAGTGACCGCATGTCGGGCCCTTCAAACTCTGCAACTTTCGAATCTCGACCTCTCAACTTTCGAGCTCGAAACTCGGCGGACCATCAAAACATTCAAACCTTCGAACTTGAAAGCTTTCGAAGTTTGACAGTTTCGAACTCTCAAACTCGCCACCTCAGCCACAAGCTGCAGATCGAATCTGAAGCGAAGCTTTCAAACTCCACACCTTCAAACTTGCGAACTTTCGAACTTTCAGACTTTCGAACTTGCAAACTTTCGAACTTTCAAAGTTTGATCCCGTCGAACCTCGAAAGGGCAAACTTTCAAAGTCTCAAACTCTCAGACTTCGAAGGTCGATCGAACTCTTCCACCAAGCAAAAGCTTGAAGTTCGAGTTTGAAGCAGCCAGTCGAGCTCAACAGTTCGAGAGTTAGGGAGATTGAAATTTTGGAAGTTTCGAGTTTGAAAAGCTCGAAGTTTGACGTCGGCTAGCTTGTGCATACCAAGGTGCACAAACCTTCGAACTCCAGCACTTTTCGAACCTTCAAACCTTCAAAGCTTGAAACTTTCAAGCTTCAACCTCCAAACATTTCAAGCCTTCGAGTTCGAACGACATCGCTCGGGACACCATTCGTTTTAATGTCCAGGGCTCAGGGGTAGGTCAGTCTCCCCAAACATGTGTTTTCTGTCTCTCCTTCTAGATGCCAGGTTCAAGGGTTCAATATTGGGGCCTGGGTACATGTATACCACAGGGATCAGATGGGGGGAGCGCTGGATCGCCGAGAAGACTGTGCTGTGCAGCTACCCTGCCCATGCACGATGCCAAACCACTCAGGCTCTATGCGGCGGTAGTCTGCACTCTACTCCATGCTCCAAGACCCGAAGTCGGATTAGCAAGGCACAGCGGGTTTGTATCAAAACCCTCAAATCAGAAAATCAGCCGCCGAAGTACATTGGCGCCAGTTCCCGGAGAAGCTGCTCTGCTCGACCTGAAGCAATACCGGGGCTGTTATTGTCAGACAGCAGGGGCTCGGACAAAAAATGCTATAAATATGACAAGGAGCTAAGGAATAGCAGTATAGTATCTAATCTAGTCGTAACTGTTTCAAGATCCCAGGTTCGGCTTTTTTCAAAGCCTAGGCTTCTAAGTTACACATGACGGCTACTTATGACGCACGTGGGTCTTCATAGGGTTCTCAAGAGGCTCTTTGCACTTCTGAACAGGGCGCTAAAAGGGCCCAAGCGGCTTTACAAGGGCTTCTGACGCTCTACTAGGATACCCAGTAACCTAAGAATAAAAAGGCCTCTCTTTTTGGTATTGGGTATCTTTATAAGGAACCTAGGACTACAAAAAGGGAATAAGGGTACTACTGGGCATCCTAGTCTAGGCCACGTAAACTCCCAAATTCTACTTTTGCTCAGGATCACTCAGTCTCATAAGCTGGGATGCCCAGTAACCTAGGAATGAGAAGGGCTCCGTTCTTGGTATCGGGTAAATTTACAGGAGCCTAGGACTACAAAAAGGGAATAAGGGTACCGCTGGGGCATCCTAGTAAGCAAACCCAGACGTGCCCTAAGGCTCAAAGCCCATATAGCATGGTCGTCAGGGTCAAGAGCCTTACGCCATGAGTATGCTCGAGGTTGGGGACTGCGGGGGTGCCCTGAAACAAAAAAACACAGATCATTCATCCCACTTCATCTCCTAATCCTGAACATCCCTGGCAAAGCCGCCTACAACCCATATGAAACCCGATTAGGGTTCCTTCAAACAGGGGTCTAGATTCCGGGTGGTGGGGTTGAAGGTGTCACCGTTTCGGATTCAAAGCTCAAGTTCTGGAAGGGTAGGGTTTTGGGGCCCATTATGCTATAACTATAACAAGGGACCCCCCAAAAAAAGGCATAGGCAATTCTTAAGGCGCTGATAATCAAACCCGAAATCCGAAAATACACCAAATCCTTAAGCCTTCACCCTGCTCCAAGTTGCCCTGGTGTTTCTCGCAGTAGACGGTGAAGATTAGCTGTCGCAGGTTGCCTTTGCCGAAGGCTTTATGCTTGCTCGAAGGCGTAGAATGCTTCAAACCCAAACCCCTCAACCCTGAACCGTGTAGGAACCACGGTTCCCGGCAACGAGACACACTCAACGGAGATCCCCGCGCCCCAACCTGGTTCTTGTTGAGGAACATAGTTGAAGTTAGCGTAGCAGAGCTTGCCGTTATTTACTCTTTCAAAGAAAATTTGATTATTACACTTGAAGGTATGCTCCTGAACAACAGCCCAGAAAGACCTTCAAACTCAGCTTTGTGACCCCGACGAAAGGCTGAAACCTTCAACGATTTAAAGCCTGACTTTGAAACCCTACAGAAGGTTGTATTTAGGGCGTAAGGCCCACCTCGCTTTGCCAACATCGCCGTGGATATGCAAGGTGCGGGGTTCTATGCCGAAGGGCCTTCTCGGCGAAGCTTTTCGGTCCTTTAAACCCGAAACGTCTCGGCGGTTTAGGAGTGTAGGGTTTAAACCCGAGACGTTTCGGCGGTTTAGGAGTGTAGGGCGGAAGTTTGAGGCCACAGACGCCGAATCAGGCCAGCCCTCCAGCTTTGGTCGAGACCCTGCACTCCTTCAGCAGGAGTCGGTGGCCCTCTTCGATCCGTCGACAACAGCATGACACTCCAAGCATTCCCAGAAGCCGCAGTTGCTGAACGGAGTTGTTGAAAAGCAAAGAAAGAAAACCCAAAGGCCCCATAGTAGTTCCTTTTGTGAGGTTCATATTTAGAATCTTATGAGGCATTCCCCAAAAGGAACTACCATGGGGCCTTTGGGTAAACCCCAAAGGTCCCAAACCGCAGCGCTAGGTTCCTTTCTTTGCTGCCACAGCCGCAGCCCTGCACGTCGTTCACGACGTCCAGCCCACCTGCTGGAAGAAGTTCCTACGTGCTCACTTCAAGAGGGAGCTCTGTAGACTGGGCATACTTAGATCCAGGGTTTAGGGTTTAGGAACAGTAAATCCCGTGGGAACCCCAAAAAGCCTGTTTAGGAAGATTGCGCTGAACCCTTGTTTCCCACTGGGCTCAGGTCCAGCCAGACTCTAAGCCCTAAACCCCGATATCACCCAAAACCCTAAACCGATTCAATGCATGCTGCCATCTAGCCAGTGGTTTTCGCCTTGGCTCTTTAGCTCCTTATTTAATAGGGATTATCAGCATCCCTGGCTCCTTAGCTCCCCTAAACCCTAAACCCTTAGCTCCTCCAGTATCAATAGTAAGCCATGGAAGGTGCCTGGCCGACCGAGCAGCTCCACATGGAAGCCATCCGCCTTTCGAACAAAACTTGGAGTGTCGGTGTCCGTTGGGTCTACGGTTTCTGCAGGTTTTGTTTTTTGTTGCTGATCTTTTTCCAAGCTTCCTGCGGGGTTTAGAGTTTAGGGCTTGGGGTTCAAAGATTAGGGTCTAGGGTTTTTTTGACCTGTATTCCTGTGTGTGTTGCTGAAACAGGATGCAAGCTCTTGTCACTGGAGCAGACCATGCGGGTTTCGTATAGGGTCCTTAAGAATTAGAATAGGGTTTTGGGGTCCATTCTACTATAAATATAATAAGGAACCCGAAAAGTAGAGGTACTTATGTGGGCCCCTGTAGTGGAGGAGCGCGCGGGTTCCGTGCACAAAGGGGCCGGAACCCCTCGAAATGGGCTAATTCTACGTGAAAGACGAACACCGCACGTGCTGCATCATTCATGATCGTATGTGAGTGTGACGAGGTCTATGTTGCCAATTCCGCCAGTACGTAGTTTCGAGCTCCTGGCTTCGCTCCGGAAACCGCGCAAACTTCAGATCTCAAGCCCTAAACCTGAAACTGACGCGAGAATGCGAAACCCCGAGCCATCAGTCCTAAACAGATGTACACCCTGGCACTTAATAACTGAGTCATTTCAAAGATAACACCTGAAACCCTAACACCAAACCGCCCACTCCCTTGACATCTTACTCACTAAACACTAAGCCCACGTCCCCTAAACCTAAACTCGGTTTAGGGTTTAGGGTTTAGGGTTACACCTTCATCCCTTCATTTCGAAGACTAAACCTTCATCCTAAAAGCCTTGGGCTCTCTCACAAAGCCACCTCCCTGAACATCGAAAGCTTCTTGCAGCGGCAAAAGCAACAAACAGCAATCAAACACCGAGACTCTACGACTCAAACCCACGCCCGAGCAGCAGGTCACAAGATTGGGGTTTAGGTATTTCGGGTTTAGGGCTTTAGGGTTTCAGGGCTAAGCTAGTCTGGGTTTAGGGCTTCGGGCGGGACAACCACACCCTCCTGGAAGGTACATGAACCAGCTGGCTGTGAGGCACCTGACCCAAGCGTTTCTCGTTCTTGCCACCTTCAGCGCGGCTCCGAGAAGCGCACCATAAGCCCCCCTAACCAACCTAAACAGGAAAACCTATCTGGGTTTGGGGGTTTTGGGGGATTCATGAAACTGTTTTGGGACCTGGGTGTCTGGCAAACCCATGTTTACACAGCTCTATGCTGCAGTGCCATAACCCCTCAGTGCCCAAACCCATGAAGCCTAGAGGACTCTAAACCCATTGACCCTAGCTAACCCCTAAGTCGGGTTGTAGAGCCCTGGGCTCTAGACACTACCCAAAGGCCCCAAAGTAGTTCCTATTTGGGGTTCATATATAGAATCAGATAAGGTAATCCCAAAAAGGAACTACTTTGGGGCCTCTGGGTAAGCCCTACGCCCAAGCGAGAATCATCTTCGGTGTGCAGGCGAAGGCTTGGGCCCCACGCTTTAGGGCTTTGGCTTCTCTTGGTCGGCTCTTACTTTTCTCGAATGTACCTATAGTCTCCATTGCAGTTCCTTTTTTTGGTTTAACCAATTATATATTGAGGATCCTATAAGGTAACCCCAAAAAGGAACTACAATGGAGACTATAGGTAGGCCAAATACTTGAGGACTGCTGGCTTCTATGAGGGGGATGAGAAGGCTGCTTCTGAGGCCGATCATGGGGCGAACCAGTGCTCAGGGTTTGAAGGGCCCTTGAATCCTCAAGACCCTGAGCCCTAAACCCTGAGACCCCAAACCCTACACCCTGAGCCCTCAAGGGTTTTCTATAGGTGCCGCAAGGGTTTCGGGTTAAGGGGTTTGGGGGTTGAGCTTTTCTTTTGAAAAAAGGGTTTAGTTTTTATGGTTTACGGTCTCCTTGTTAGCCACTCCAGAGGTCGGCGGCCAGCGACAGCAAAGCTAGGCATCTGGCTTCTCACGGACGGACCGGCGCGAGCCTACGAAACACTTAACCCTGGACCCTTAGCCTCTTAAAGACAATGACCCAAACCCAAACATCCCTATAGACCCAAAACCCCAGACTCTAAATTACAAACTCCTGTATCCTAAAACCCTGAACCCCCGATCCCTAAACCCCGAAATGGAAAAACAAACTCTGTCCCTCTGCCCGTATCCAATCCTACAAATCCCAACACCGCAAACCCTGAACACTACACCTTAAAATCCTCTGCATCAAGCCGGATTCGACAAACCGGGGTTTGGGGGGTTCTTTGTGACGCCCTGTCTAATGATTAGAATCAGATTTTGGTGTGTGTTACGGATCGAGCCTGAGGCGGCGTCGTCTCAAACCCCAAGCCCCGATCTAACCCTAAATCCCCAAACCCTTTAACCCTAAATCCTCAAACCCTTTAACCCTAAATCCCCAAACCTTGAAACCCTAAATCCCCAAACCCTTTAACCCTAAATCCCCAAACCTTTAAACCCAAACCCGAAACTGGACAGGTGGCCGTTGAGATAGTTCCCGAAAGCCAGCACCAAGCTCAGCAAGAAGGGAATCTCCACTGATGTGAGGAAACCTCGGCCCATGTGTTTCTGGCTTAAGCTCACCCTTTTTTCAAAGGGGAAAAGGGCGGACCCTTAATGGGGACCCCTACCCTATAATGAGCTATATAATGGGTATATAATAGCTATGTTAAGGGTATATACCTAGAGGTCCTTATTAAGGGTCCCTCCTTTTACCCTTGGATTTTTGGAAAGACCTTATCTGAGTTGTCCTTTAAGCCCGTTGAGAATTATTTACTATTATGGTTCGCTACAAAATAGTAGGGGAAATTAAAAAAGATCCCAAAGGACAACCCAATATACATCCTGAACCCTAAACCGAGCGAACACCGAAAACATCTAGACCCTCAAGACTACAACCCTACCATCCTACTGTGTATACCCCAGGGCCCCAAAACCCTTTTCCCAGTCTGGTTGTCAAAATTAGGATCCCATTTTGGGTCCCTAATATAATACGGCACCTAATATTTAGGGTACCCAAAAAGGGACCATTATTTTGACAACTACCCATATTTTCGCCGCATCCAGTGCTGTCTTCCAGAGCACGAAGGTCCAGAAGCAGCCTTTTCTCACGTCAGCCCATATGCAAGGAAAACATCTCTGAACCCATGATCACTTTAAGGCTGCATAAAGCAAGGTTTTTGGCTCTTTTGTTGGCTAGAACCAAGCAGCTTCTCCTAAAAATAGTCAGGAGTTTTGGCTGGACCCATGGCCGAATTAGGGCTTACGCCTTCCCTGAAGCCCTACCCTCAACCTGCCCCGTCTCGTATGGCAGCAGGAGCCCAAGAAAGCAAAGCACTCAAACCTGAACTAATTTAGATTCAGAAACCCTGGGCCCCTGGGCCTATAACACCAACATAGTCGGATTCATATGATTCTTGATCAGGTTCCTACATTACCTAAAGAAGACAAGGGGTTCATCTTACATAGTTCAGGTTCACGTGCTTTTGGGGTCCCTAAACCCTCAACCCTGAACCCTAAACTCCCTATTGCAAATCAGCCGCATCGAACCATTTTTTCGAAGCGCTGCAAGTTGTCCTCCGGCGGCTGCGGTGAGATTGCAGCATTGAGGGCTTAGGGCGCTCGGATTTGAGCGTCACTGCATGGGTTCAGGGCTCGGGGCTTTTAGTGCTTCGGGTTTGGGGTTCGTGGGTCTTAGGGTTGAAGGCTTGGGGGTTTAGGGCCCTCGGGCTTTGGAGTTACTGCAAAGGGGGTTTCGGGGTTTCAGGAATTTAGGGGTTTAGGCATTTAAGGGCCCAGGGTTTAGGGATTTACGGGTTTGCGGGTTCCGGGCTGAAGGGGCTTTTAGAGGGTTTAGGGTTTAGGGTTTAGGGTGTTTAGAGTTCCTCTCTTCCTCCTCCTCCTTAAATGGGGGGCTCTGCCGGAATAAAGTACCGTCGGGCTTGGGAAAATGCCGTGGCATGCGGTGACTTATCAAACCCGTTGGGCCAGCAGTTCGCGTTGGGTCCTCATTTGGGTAGTTGAACAAATGATGGTCCCTTTTTGGGTATCCTAACTCATAGGTGCCGTAATATATTAAGGACCCAGAAAGGAACCCCAACATTGACAACCACCCATTTAGAAGTCTATAGTGTTTAGGGAAAAGGGTTTAGGGTTCAAACATTGCCAGATCCCTGATTTGGAGGACCGGAAGGGCAACACCCCGCATTTCCGGGGCGGCAGCGGCCATGTCACCCACGTTCTGGCATGCACTTTGGCGTCTTGGGGAGACTGGCAACACTTCAAGGCGCCATGGTGTACAATCTCCGAGTCAGCCAACCGACACCCTAAGCCCCTGAACCCGGCTGAACACCATAAAAAGCCCCCGGTAGAAGCCCGACACGAAACCAAAAAGACCGAACATTTACAGCGTGATTCCCACATGCTGCCCCCCCGAACACTATAAACTCTGAACCCAAAGTTCTAATCCCTACGCCCGGAACTCTCCTGGAGCTGGCTGAGCCTATCGGGAAGGTTGTACCTTGGGAGCAGACGGGTGGAAAGCAGGTTTGTAGGCCGTCAGAGGTCTCCAAAGCGTGTGTAAAGGGACTGTATGTGACTTTTCCAAGTTTTTTCGGTTTCACAAAATTGAAAACAGGGTCATTTCAAAAGGCGATCGAACGAATGTAAGGCCAAACACACGACCTCAATGCAAATTGTAGGGGACAAGTCGAGGTGTCAAGCTACTGAAGAATAAGCGTACCCTTGTCCCTGTTGCAAGGGACAACTCCGAAAAAAAGGGGCAACGGAGGTACTTCTGCTGGGGCGGGGGGGGGGGGGGGGGGGGGAAACCTGGAAAAGCATTGAATTCCCATGGTTTAGGGATTTGGGTTTGCTCGTTTTTGAGAGCCATTGGGTTCGGGCTAATGGGTTTTAGAAATGAAGCAGGGGATCAAAATCTATTTAGGAATGAGAACTTAGGATTAAAAGCTTAGGGAGCTTAGCCGGCTCAGGGTTCAAGGTTTAGGACATAAGTGGCTGGACGGTTTAGGGTTTAGGGTTTAGGAAGTCTGCCAACATGTCTTCGTAGGGGTACCCAAATCGGTGGAAATAGAAACAGAAATACGTTAATAACAAACCATACATATACATATACATATATACACACATACATATACAGCTTCATTGATGCCGGAATATGAGGCCACCATGATTCTGTTTCAGCGGCTTGCAGGAATCGGATTACGGGCTGAGGCCCTACTCAGATGGTTTTGGGACAGGGCCTTATGCCAGCACTGAGCTAGGCTTTAGGGTCTTCGGGGTTGGGGTTTAGGGGTTTAGGGGCTTAGAGTTTAGGAGCTTAGGGGTCTAGGGGCTTAAGGTTTAGGCTTTAGGGTTTGGGGTTCAGGAGCCGTGTAGACCATGTATGTATGTACCAACAACTGCATGGTCCTGAGGTCCTCAGAACGCTGGTGGTGATGATATTCTAGGATACCCAGTAACCTGAGAATAAAAAGGCCTCTCTTTTTGGTATTGGGTATCTTTATAAGGAACCTAGGACTACAAAAAGGGAATAAGGGTACTACTGGGCATCCTAGTTATCCTGATGGTGATCATGGGTGATTGTGCTCGAGACTCGTGGAGTGGATTGTCTCTACATACCCCACAACTACCCCACAACCCCGGTCTTGTCGTTGAGGCCCCTGTGTTTGGGTGTTTTAAAGGTCTCAAAGCCCCCGGCTAATGAGCTGAGGGGCAGGAACCCCCAACAACTGAGCCGCATAGAGCAGCCGCGGACTTGCGCAAGGTCCTCTGTTAGGGTTCATGGTTTCATATTTTGTTTTTTTTTACCCTCTTTTCCGTCTGCCCAGGCGACGTCCGAAATGGTTTTATATAGGGTTTAGGGCTTAGGGCTGAATCTTTCCTGGGACACGGAGAGGAGCGTAAGCCGGGCGAGCTCTTCCGGGTATCTTTTGTATGACGAAAGCACGATGTGCACTCTGGGTTTTTTGTCGGACTACCACAGAGGAAGGTACGGTAGCACATGGCAATGTACTTCTGGGCATGAGTCGCCGTGGAACAACAACAGTTAAGAGCTGCTCACGTAAAAAATCCTGTGTTGCACTGCACACAGTTGCACGGTGGCCCGCCTATGAGAAACCTGGCCACCAATCCGCTTGACAGGGAGGCCTTAGTAGTTAGTTAGAATGGTATCCAACTTTTACAGGGACTCTATGACGGGTACTACTTCCGCTGATTACATCCCTAAGCCCTAAACCCTGAACCCCTGCACTCCCACATGCCTAAACTATCCCCAAAACCCACATGGTTCTTGCGCAGACACTCAGAAGGAAAACAAAGGAAACTCCAGAAAATCAAAAGCGCGTTTAAGGTTGTCAGCGGATTGAAATTTGAGGCTTCGTCTAGGGTTTGCCTGCAAAAAAACCTACATTGCTATACAGGGCTTCTTATTATGCAACCCCCTTTAAAACCTACGACAAATGTAGGTCTGCTGGGATGCCGGTAAGGCTTGTTCGGTTCAAGGCTTTCTCTTCGGCCCAGGATCCATAAATCGAAACCGAATCACTATTGGGATCCCCTACCCGTATGATCCGTAATGGAGGGTACTTGAATTGGGCGACGTAAAATCCTTAAATCCCGAAAAACCCTGGACCCGTAAGCCCCCGAATGGAAATCCTTACAGAACCCTTTAAGGAACCTTTAAAGGACTTTCTGGGGAACCTAGAAACAGCCCCTTGATACACAAACCTGGGAAGTCCTTTCCCAATTCCGACTACCATAACACCCATATAGAAACAATGAAACCTTTAAAGGAACCCTGATAGAACCCCTAAAAACACCTTTCTAGGATCCCTTAATAGGGCCCCCCAAAAAGCACATAAGCAAAAATCAGGATAGGTATATCCCCTATGAACCCACCTTATAATGAAGCCCAATAAGGTAGGGATATCCGGATAAAATGTTTATGCTTATATGCTTTTTTGGATTTTGGGGAGTGTCCCTAACTTAAAGGAACCCTTCAAGGTGGACCTAGAGCCGTCGTCCTCCATGAATTGCTCCACAGGGTCCCACACAAAGGGATCCTCCGACCTTGAGATTTGTTCTGTCTCAAGCTCTGATATGAGGTTCACTTAAAGGCTCATGGGACTTAGTAAGTAAGGTTATAAGTAGGTTATAATTAGGATAACCCCATTTAGGGGACTTATAACCCCAGTTATAACCTACTTACTAAGTCCCATGATCCTCTAAGCAGGGTTTTAACAAGCAACATTTGGGTGCACTATGATGTAAGGTTTAGTATTGAGGGTTCAGGGTTTAAAACAGCAACATTTGGGTGCACTATGATGTAAGGTTTGGGCTCAGGGTTTAAAACAGCAACATTTGGGTGCACTATGATGTAAGGTTTAGTATTGAGGGCTCAGGGTTTAAAACAGCAACATTTGGGTGCACTATGATGTAAGGTTTAGTATTGAGGGTTCAGGGTTTAAAACAGCAACATTTGGGTGCACTATGATGTAAGGTTTAGTATTGAGGGCTCAGGGTTTAAAACAGCAACATTTGGGTGCACTATGATGTAAGGTTTAGTATTGAGGGTTCAGGGTTTAAAACAGCAACATTTGGGTGCACTATGATGTAAGGTTTAGTATTGAGGGCTCAGGGTTTAAAACAGCAACATTTGGGTGCACTATGATGTAAGGTTTAGTATTGAGGGCTCAGGGTTTAAAACAGCAACATTTGGGTGCACTATGATGTAAGGTTTAGTATTGAGGGTTTAGGGTTCAGAGCTTGGGGTTGAGCGTCTACGGCCTAGGGTTGGGCTCATGAAGGGGGGGGGGGGGTAGACACATAGAATAGCGTTTTGGGGGTCTTGATTTGAAACATCTTCTTGGGGGATGACGGCTCAAAATAACAGGGTGGGGGGGGGGCGGGTCTAGGGGGGGGATGTGAATCGCGGCGGTCGGCATGCCGGAGAGTTTATCAGGCTGCAGAGCGCTTTCGGACAGGAATGGGAGCTGGCAGGGGAGCACGTGAGACCGACGCATGACTGACTCCGGGAAAGTAGAAACGACTTCTGAGGCTTTGCGGCCCTTCAGTCCAGTCCAAGCTGCCCACCTCGACGGTTTAGGGTTTAGGGTTTGGGGTTTAGGGTTTAGGATTTAGTGTTTAGGGCTTCAAGCTTAGGCTAGAAAGCTGGGCAACCCTGAGCCCTGATGCCTATAACCTTGAAACCCTCAAATCTTCAAAACTTATATGAGCCTTGAATCCCACATTTTGATGTAACGGTCATGTAAGGGCCCTAAACCCTTGCGCCGTAGATCCCTCTTTCCATAGGCCAATTTAAGGAACCCATACTAACGAGGGAACGCAACCCAGGTTCCCCAAAGCACAGAAACCCAAAACTTAAACCCTAAACCCCTGGCCCTAACCCCTAAACCCCTAAACCCCGAACCCCTAAACCCCTAAACCCCTAAACCCCTAAACCCCCGAACTCCGAATCCCCCTAAACCCTAAACCCCAAAGCCCAAAAAAACCCCAAAGCCCCAGAGCCCTTCGAGGTTCCCGGCGACTTCTCCGCCTCCACGGCATTCCTCTTGCTGGCGAGCTCCATCTCCTTCATAAGGGGTTTAGGGTTTAGGGTTTAGGGTTTAGGGTTTAGGGTTTAGGGTTTAGGGTTTAGGGTTCCCTAAACCCCAAACCCTAAACCCTAAACCCTAAACCCCTAACCACCTAAACCCCCTAACCACCTAAACCCCTAAAATCCCTATCATAAGCTCACAGGCTGAACATAGGGGCCCTAACAATTCGAATAGGGGTTCTTCAAAGGGTTCCTTTTAATTACAGGGGTCGAAAAGGCTTACTACAAGGGCTACTACAAGGATTTAAGATAAGGGCCTTCGCAATTGGAATAGGGTTTTGGGGCCCGCAGAATTTATTCAGGCGCCTCTACTAGGCGCACCGTTTAGGATTTAGGCTTCGGGGTTGAGGGCGTAACGCTTAGGGCTTGGGATAGGGTATGGGGAAGAGCTTGCCCGAGCTCCGACAAGTCTTCCCAACACCACAGAACCCATCGACCTCCACAGCCACGGCTACTTAGAGGATCATTGGACTTAGTACCTGGGGTTATAAGTAAGGTAGCTATACTTATAACTACTTATAACCCCAATTAAGGTACTTATAACCTTACTTACTAAGTCCCATGATCCTCCAAGTAGACCCTAAACCCTAAACCCTTATAGTACCCCTATAGATCCCTTAAATAAGGGACCCCTATAACCCTACTTACTAAGTCCCATGATCCTCCAAGTATGGGTTCGGGCTGGGGGCTTTAAGGTTTTCTTAAGGTGGTAGGGCAGCGTAGGGTTGAGGGTTATAAACTTGTAGGATGTAGGGTTTAGGGTTTAGGGTTTAGGGTGTAGGATTTAGGGTTTAGGATTTAGGGTGTAGGGTTTGGGGTTCGTGGGTTTTTGGGCTACAAGTACGTCCTTAGGAACCCTAAACCCTAAACCCTAAACCCTAAACCGTTAAGGCTGTCAAGTCTAGGGCTCAGAGAGTCGAAGTTTTTTTCTGGACGCTGAGCCCCTCACGGCCCTACGGTTCCTGCGATCCTGCACACAACCCCCAAGCTCTGAAGAGCTAAACTTGGAAACCGGTTCGGAGTCGGGATTCGTGCCTGGACCCTGAAGATCCTCCTTCCTTAGGGATAAGGCCTTAGGGTTTAGGGTTTCGGATTTAGGGCCCGAAGCATGAGATGGGAACCCAAATTTCCAATGCTTCAAGCACCCATAGTGAAAGCGTTATAGTAACCCTAAACCCTAAACTCTTGTAGTAACCCTAAACTCTAAACCCTGGGCTCGTTTACCCGTATAGTAACCCTAAATCCGGAACTCTTATATAGTAACCCTAAACCCTCATACTAACGCGTATCGCAGCCCAAGTAGCAACCCTAAAGCCTCAACTCTTGTAGCAACCCTTACTGGTAACCCTAAACCCTTATGGTAACCCTTTTCACTTGGCTGACTTCTGAACCCCTCCTAAAAGTTAAACTTTTAGCCTCCTTACTATAGTTCATACGAGAACCCAAAAAGTTAAAGCCCTAAGAGCCAACCAGAAGAACGCCAAGTTCGTGAACATACTGCTGATGGACAAAATCCTGCATTACTCATTATAAAGAATGTACCATAGTTCCCATAGTTTAGAGTCCTTCGGGTCATGCAGGATTTTGTCCATCAACAGTAGCATTCCCAAAATCCGAAGCCTGCTCCGGGCTCGGGCAAAGAAAGCGCCGAAGCGTCTGAAGCGCCTGAGTATGGGTTTAGGGGTTCAGGGTTTAGAGGTTTAGTAGGGTCTAGGGTTTAGGGTTCAGGGTACAGGGTTGAGAGTTTATTGGGGTTTAGCGAGAGCTTTACAAGCCTCCGTTTAGGGAAGATTGGGACCTTGTAAGAAAGGCGCAAATTTCTTTTACTGCTTTATGAGCGTATTTGTGGAGGGGCGGTTGTATGTAATGCCTCTATGAGCTTGAATTCAGGTTAAACGAGGGCACGAGTAGTAATTACTGCAGCCCTCGACTCTATTGTGCTCCAGCTTTTGTGCGAGGGTTTACCAGGCGGCAGTTCCGCCTCAAGGCATGTGGGCTGCAGTGGCTACAGGTATATGGTTCAGCAAGGTTGTGGTTAAATCGGGCTTCATGGTGTAGTATGGTGTATGCCGTGTATGCTACTTGTCGGGTATCACGGGGAACTCAAGGTTAACTTTTTTGATTGTATAGGGATTATATAAGGACTATACTATCCAAAAAAGGTTAAACCTACTCGACAACAAGAGTCTGCATGTGGGGTTCTGGGCCTCGGATGCAGAGTGGTTGGTCGGAGATTGAGGATCAGTTGCAGCAGAGGTCTGCATAAGATCCGAGGTCAGGGTTTGGGGTTTCTTCCGGTGTAGCGATGTGAAAAGTCCTCAACCCCAAACCCGAAACCCCCCCACTCTACAGCCCTCAACCCCAAACCCAAAGCGGGGTCTTCCGGGCCTCTGCGGTGATGGCAGATCTGTCCAGCTCCTGGCAGCAAGTTCACTTCACTCGACCGACTAGGCTCAAACCCACAGGGTCAAATTTGGGGGCCTGTATCCAGGGTCAAATTTGGGGGCCTGTATCCTGAGATTCGGCTTTGGTTTTTTATTTAAAGGCATAGGTTGTATTGGGACGATGACGAGACACTGCTACCAGTTAGTAAGACTAGAGAGCCTAGTAAATAGAGCAAGAAATTCCTTAATGGGGTAGGAGTAGCAAGTAAGTATCACTGTATCACTGTAGCTACATCCTGTATAGCCCGAGTCACTAAGTCCCATAATCCTTGCAGTGGCTTGCCTCAAGGGTTTTCGAAGCGAGTGGATTTCTGAGGGCTTTAGTATATAAAGTCAGTTGGTTTTGGAATCTGTGCAGAAGGGCTTATAGGTTTCGTATGGGGGCATCATAGCGTCTTGAGACTTTTCGGTGATTTGTTGGTGTTTCGGGGCTAACACCAAGGAATTTGAGTTTTAGGTAATTTCCTCAATTTTGGAGGCTTCTGTTCTCATCGATTGCTCTCGTTTGCTTTTCGCACTTTTGGGCTTAGGGTTCACGTCGTTGGAGATTGTTAAAAATTGAAATTTCGGAGCATTTCATCATAACCCCTACCCATGGACAGTACGTTGCTTCCCAGCCTGAAGAAAGCACACCATCTAGTCCCCGAGCACCGAAAATCCATGTTGCAGCACCACCCGGAAGCCCTGACCCCACCCTCAAACCCCGTAACCCCGAACCTTTAAACTACAAACCCTTTAACATTAAACCCCTAAATCCTAAATCCCCACGCAAACCCCTAAATCCTAAAGCCCGCAAACCCCAAACTCCTAAACCCTAAAGCCCTAAACGCCACTTTCCAGGAGGTCCTTGAGAGCCTGCGCGGCCTTGGCGCCGTTGTTGAGGCTCACCGGCAGGGTGCCTATGGGAGGACCCCATGGGTGTACGTGTTTCGGCTCGATGGGATCAGGTCTGGAGGTTCTGCAAAAATTATGGGTTGGGGGTTTGGGGGTTTTGGGCTTATCTAGGGCTTAGGGGTTTAGGGTTTAGGGGTTTAGGGTTTAGGGGTTTGGGGTCTTGGGGACTGAGGAGCTGCAGGAGGGTGTGGACGCAACTTCTTGAGCAAATGGCCCAGAGCAGCCTTATAGGAACCGTTATAGGCACCCCTAAAAAGGATCCCTTCAAGGATCCCTTAAAGGACCAAAGAGGTCCCACAATTTACAAGAGGCATCCTGGCTCCTGCATTACCTAAGACCACGGGCTCTAGAATAGGGTATGTGGTTGCAGGGTTTCGCGTGCTTGAGGGATCGAGGGCAGAATCCTACTGTTGATGATTTAATTCCTGCATTGCCCATAATAAGGAATATTCCATAATTCCCATAGTCTAGGGTCATTAAGGTAATGCAGGATTTATATCATCAACAGTAGTGGTGCCGGACGAAGCCACGGAGGCCGAAGCGTGTAACCGGGGGAGGGATGCAGTCCCTGAGCTCCACTTAAAGAGCGCTGATCTCTTTGAGACCCCTGCCCTACTTAGAGGATCATGGGACTTAGTAACTAGGGTTATAAGTAAGGTAACTATACTTATAACTACTTATAACCCCAATTAAGGTACTTATAACCTTACTAACTAAGTCCCATGATCCTCCAAGTAGAGTGGGTGACGGCTTGCAGGGTTTGGGGAGGGGTCCTGGAGCCCTCAACTCGGAAGAAACGTGCGTGGTACCTCACTCTGATATGGGGGGTTTCCGAAATAGGGGACCCTCATATAGTACCCTAAATATTAGGATCCTTATTATAAGGGACCCCAAAACAAGGTACCCTTAATTTTGGGAAACTCCCATATCAGGTGCCCTTGACGGTGACGGGACCGTGGTGTCAAGAACTATAGCCTCGTGCGGCCAAGCCACGCAAGCTCACCTCAATTTGGAAGCGCTGCTGCTGCGTGATGCTGTCAATCTTCACCGTCCTTACTCTCCGCTTGAGAATCCAAGCTGCAAGTGCTTGAAGTTACCCAAAGGCCCCAAAGTATATAGTTCCTTTTTGGGGTTCATATATAGAATCCTATAAGGTAATCCCCAAAAGGAAAACGCTAACCACCCGAAGCCTAAGCCGGGGAAAGCCTCACTTTAGGGCATTCTGGGCTTCAGAAGATTAGGCTTCGGGCGGCTCGAGGGGAAATCATGCCTTTGGCTGTAGAGCTGCAGAGACTACGTTGGTGTGAGTACGAAGTTCGCAGATCACATTGGGGTTTATCTGAAGGTCCCTTTAAAGGTGGCGCTTCTTCGTACGGAGATCTTGACCAAAAAGGCAAGCTACCTGATGGTTAGACAGCCTGTGATTAGGTATCCTGATACCTTTGAGGAGCTTTATACCAAATGTACTTGGGATTTGGGCTGGGTTGTGTGGATTGACAGTTGGGCGTACAGCCACGAGCTCTCTCCCCATAGCTTTCCGTGAAGTCGCGGCTGCTACTAACCTGATGCCCACCAACAACCAAGCGCCACATCAAGACTAGAGACCTGGCTTTCTCTCACCCAACACCGAAAACGGACCCGCACCACCCAAAACAGAACTCCTGATTATCCGAAATCTCGACCGTTTATGCAGCAAAGTCACTTAGGCTTCTTGCTCTCTTTGACCTCGACCTTCGCAACCTTTTGAAGGCCTTGGCCCGATGTAGAGCAGGCGTGGCTTCACGACAGTGAGTGCTGGACACCCGATCACCCACTACTTAGAGGATCATGGGACTTAGTAAGTGGGTTATAATTGGGGTTATAAGTCCCCTAAGTGGGGTTATCCTAATAATAACCTACTTATAAGCTTACTTACTAAGTCCCATGAGCCTTCAAGTACCTTGCTCAGGAAATCATGAAGCTGAACCATCAATGAGGAAGATTCTCTGGAATTAAGCTAGGCCTTGCAATGCTCACTAGCACGACTTTCGGATGTTCCCTAGAGTCACAACCCTTGCCTTTGTGACCAGACAAGCCTTCAATTTATCATGCTCGATGGATGCCGGGATGCCGTTTTCTACAGCTCCACAGTCGTGCGGGGATTTAGGTCTTAGCTTGGGGTCCTTCTACGCCCCAAAACCTACAAGCCCTATAAACCCTAAACCCCCTATATACAAGAAATTTAGAGCTCTTGCGCACAGGCCGCCGGCGCACGCCCCGCTCCACCCCATATTCCCAAAAAACTGTATATGTGCATGCATGCATACATACATGCATAGATACAACATCAATATATACACACATGTATACATACAGTATACATGTGTGTACATGTACAGGTATATGTACATGTACACACACACACACACCAAACTCGTTGTGATCTCGGCTTATGGTCTATTTACGGCTTCGGAACTTAACTTTAGGGTTAGGCGCTTTGGGCTTGGGGTGTAATTCGGGCCTCCTGGTATGGGCGTGCCCGACCCCATCCCACCGCTTCGCTTCACTTTTGAAGGCAAGCCGCCGGCACTTTTGCCAAAGCGCTTCTCGATTTCCTCCGATTTGAAATATAATTGGGTTAGGGGTTTTTGGGGTTTACGGTTCAGGGCATGCGCTTGACGATTCGGGGTTTAGGGTTTCGATGGGTTTGGGGTTTACAGGTTTAGGGTTCACGGGATGGTAGGCCACACCTGTGATTTGCGAGTTGGAGTTCAGGGCTTTGGGACTTTCGGTTTAACGAGGCCTTCCAGCTTTGGGACTTTTGGGCATAGGGTGCAGGGCTTCACAACGTGGGAATCTAGGATTCGCGGCTTTAGATTCGAGCTTCGGGTCTTTAAGAATTTGTCAAAGGCCTTTGGTTTCCCTGCCCTCAGCCCTAAACCCTCATGTATTTCCTGAGAGGCTTGCAAACTCAACTGCTAAGTCTACGTGGCGCTTCGAGGGCTTGTACTGCATGGCTTCGCACTGAGCCCCCAAACCTCGCCACTGGACCGAAACAGGCAAGAGCTTAGCATCTGGATATGTTCAAAATTATCACAATCCAGGACCCACCTTGTACCCTCAAATTGGGGTATATGGTCCCAGATAAGGGGCATATCGGGTCTAATAGAGGGTAGATGGAGGGTCTGGGATGTTTTCGAGGGTTTCGGAGTCTAGGTTCAGGTTGGGTTCCAGGTCGAGGGTTTAGAGCGCGCTTGATTTCGACAGCGTATGCGCCAGTACACGGGCATCGAAAATCGGCACAGAATTTCGAAGTACATTATAGCATGAGTGCATTAAGGAACCCTAAGCCCTAGGCAGTAACATTGAGTAATTAGGGTAGGCTTCAAGTTCGATTGCATGCCGGGCGAGGGGTCCAGGATTCTGGAGGGTCCGGTGGGGAGCAGAAGTCGCTTTTAGGATGGTTCTCTAAGTTGGCTTCTGCTTTGATGTCCTGATGGTTACCCTAAGGCCCCAAAGTAGTTCCTTTTTGGGGGTTCATCTATGGAATCCTATAAGGTAACCCCACAAAGGAACTGCTTTGATGTCCTGATGGTTAGACTGACGGGGTCCGAAAACGGAGAGATAATCTCTCTCGTTGACTGACCAGGCACCAAAGGAGCTCAAACTTGAATGTGTAAACCTTTGTTTATGCATCTTTGTGTATAATCATAAAAAAAATACATGCACAGAGTACATGCACATGCACACAGAGAAAGAGAGAGAGAGAGAGAGAGAGAGAGGTAGAGAGAGAGAGAGAGCGAGCGAGCCCTGGTAAATAATAACCTCAAAAGTGTTACGAAGCCCTGATTACATAAGCTCCTTGAATTTGAACAACCGTGGCCTCCAGGGGCAAAGACTCCATGATGTGGTCTTCGTCATAGACAACGTTCACCTTCGGGCCGACTGGGGGCAGCGTCTGGGGTCCAGTCAAGGTTTTAAGATTTCGGGTGTGTGCGCGCACTAATTTTCCCGGCCCCTGCGCAGCGGACGTCGGTAAGACGTGACCCGACGAAGACAATCCAGTAGGATCTGTTTCTGAACCTCGGCGCCGGATGTAAAAAAGGCTCACCGTGGATTCTGCACGGTATACCTGAAAACTTATAGAAGAAGCCAAAGCAATCGAATCAAGATCCGTGCTTCCCAAACAATTCCAGGAGACTTAAAGCGTTGCCACTGCATCGTACAGCCAATCTGGAAGTGAAAACATGAAATGCTCAGGAAAGCACATCGACTTTTATGTCTGCAAACTGTAGACGGGAAACCCCCTGCTTGAAGAACCTTGCCTGGCCAATACCCAAGGGAACTAAATCTGTTTACAAACCCAAAGTCTGGAAGTTGGGCTTTGAACCCCTAGCACATGCTGTCCCTGTCTCCTGCCGCTTCGTTTGCTATTTATTGCGATTGTTAAATCTGCATTGTCACTGTTGCTGATACTCACTAGATTGGCCCTTTAAAGCCTCTGAAAAATGTTCGTAAATAGGGTCCTATTAAGCCCAATAAGGTCAATAGGGGATAATATAAAATGTCCCAACGGCCTACCTAGATCATTCTTGTCCCCGACGACGGCCCGCTGTCGCCTGGTCCCAGATGGTTCCCTGCTGCAGCTGTGCTCCGACGACGTAGCGCGTCCAGGGCAGCGTCTTAAGATCCTCCGGGCCGCTAGACGGTTTGCAGGGTCTTCAACAGGAGAGGAACTTGGGGAATATTTTGCTACAGCATACCAAAGCTATATCAGGATTCAAGAAGGATTGCATGTTTTTTGCTGATTCATCTTTCATTCATTTCATTGCCTTTTTGTCATGTCTGTGTCTGCTGAAGCAACGTCCGTATGTCTATAACGTATACTGTGTGTTTATTGATCTGATATGTTATGTGCCTAAAGACTGTCTTGCCAAGGGGATTTGGTGTTTGAGTGAACTCTGTCTATCTATTTACAGGGAAATATAAAACTAGGTTCCAGACATTGCTCAGGTTGAAAGGCGTTGAAATTGCTGTCGTACCCTGATGCCCTACCCACTCAAACCTGCAAACCCTGGGCCCTCAAAGGTAAAACAACACCTAAATCCTAAAGCCTAGAACCTAATGACCACGGAAGCCTCTACTATCATTGATGTTGAAGCACCACTTGTGAGAATGCACAAACGGTATTCTGATTTTCCAAGACATTGCAGGTCACTGGCCTGGCTGATGTAGGAACCTGATTAAGAAACCCTGGGCCTATAACCCCAAAATAGTCGGGTTCATATAAGGAACCCTAATAAAGGCCCAAGGTGTCTTAATCAGGTTCCTCCATTACTGCTTATTTCTCGTCTCTTTGACCATCTCTCCACCACAGCCCTAAAGTTCCCTAGAACCGACATACAGACTTGTCCGACTTTCCAACCTTTTTATGTGGACTGCGACGGTAGCTTGCGCGCGTCTACTGTCTGCAGTCTCATGGGTTAGTCCTGTCGGGTTTTCAAAAATCGGCCTCAGTAGATCAGTAGTTAGGAGAAAGAGTTTTGTGTAAATTCCAAAAGAAGAAGATTCGGATTGCAAGAGGGTAGTAGGGCTTGGGTTAACACGGAATGGCGCTTGGTCTTTGGGAAGGGAAGGCTTTGCCTTTTTCTGCGAGGTGTACTTAGACCCCCAAAAGTATGTAAGTAAAATACTGGCCCAGAACCTATACAAAGGCTATTAGTCTCCAAGAAATAGATCCCAATCTGCAACACTGAAAAGCCAAAGCGGAAGTCTCTGACCCCAAACACCAAATCCTAAAGTCCTAAACCCTCTCTGGACTGCGGGCTCTGGTTTCGGTAACTTGGGAACCCGGGACGAAGCTGAACTTGAGACTGCCCGTAAACATGACCTAAATATGTCGAACAGGCTTGTAGGTAGGTGGCTTTACATGGGGAGTTTCCGAAAATAGTGGACCCTAATGTAGTAGCCTAATTAGTAGGATCCCTATTATAAGGACCCCCAATCAAGGTATCACCAATGTTCGGAAACTCCCACATTGCAAACTATCCAGGGGCTGCCAGAGGATACCCTAACTAATCCTTCCCAAGTCTATACGGCACATTCCCTTCCCTCCTGCATCGGCTTCACCGTGGGCTTGGTGGGCTCCACTGCAGCCTGACACCAGGGCCGCGAAGGATCACCGGGTGAGAGACTAGATCATGGACTATCAGGGCTCAGGGTTCGGATACGGGGTCAGGGATGTACGGTACTTAAAGGGTTAAACTACAGGAAACCCCATAAAGTTGGAAACCGGATTAAGGCGAAATAGTGCTGGGATTCCCTATACATTAATCTTAAGGATTGAGGCTATTGGGTTTCCAACTTTTGGGCTTCTACCATAAACTACCATTACCAGTTTCGGGCCGGGTGTTACAACGGACGTGGCCGCCCACCGTCATCCTCAAAGAGATGTCAGAAGCAACGCGGAAACCTGCCCGACAAGCTCTTCTAGACACATGTGAGGCGGTGTCAAACTAGAGGTCGCTGTGCTTTGGAGAGGGTCTTCGTACAAGGATCGTCCTAAACTCTGAACCGTAAAACCTAAACAGTCGTTGCGAAACTTTCAGATGTCCTGCTTTTGTGCGCATTTCTTGGGGCCATCCAGCTGCAGTACTGGGTGCCTGGGCTGTCAGGTGGCCGGCTGCAGTCTGGGCTGCTGTGTGAGCTGCTGTGTGGACATGGGGTGAAGTGTATTGTCGATCTCGAGCCTCTGCTGTCCCGGGCTCCAGACCAGGTGCCGCCAGTGCTTGTTCTCGTCCACCCAATTGAGAGCCTTTGGCCCGCTCCATGGATGCTTCGTTCTTGTGGGTCTCGGTCAGTCGTACGTGCAGCGAGATCAGGAATTTGTTGAACATGGCCAGCTTCAAGGCAAAGGTCTCTTGCTCCGACTCCTTCTGCTCAGCCAGGCTTGGAGTGGTGAGTCCACACACGCAAATATGGGAGTTTCCTGGGGTCCTCATTGTAAGGATCCTACTATTTAGGGTACGAAAAGAAGGGATACTTTATTTTGGGGTTCTTATCATAAGGATCCTACTATTTAGGTGTCCATATTAGCGTCCCCTGTTTTCGGAAACTCCCATAAAGGAGTTTGACTCATGACACACACGATCTGCTCTGTTGCAAAACCCTATCATCCCCCGAAAACCCAAAGCCAAAGCCTATGCCCTTAACCCGAAAGGCACAATCAAGAAAACCACAAGCACTGAACAGCAACACAGAAACTTTTGCACAAAACCCTCAAGCCTAACCCCTAAACCCTGAACCCCTGAACCCTAAAACCCTAAACCCAAAACCCTAAACGCTGAACCCCTGAACCCTAAAGCCCTAAACCCTACCTGGAGCCTGGGGGTCCTCCCTTTTTAGAGGGCGTAAAAATATAACTTGGTTTCCGGATTGAAATCCTGGTTATTGACGATTCGACCTGCGTTCGATGAATGACCCTTGTTTGATTTCGCAAGATGGCTCTGGGCCATGTGCAGAGGGATTGATGGTCTTATGTACATAAATTCCTCAATGCAAGTACAGAGGCTTCATGGAGATTCGGTTACAGATGCTTCAGTTCACATCGGTTCTTACGACAAACAGCTTTCAACTGCAGTGCTTAAAGAAACGATAGAGAGAGAAAGTGAATGAGAAAATGATGCTTGTCCACGACGTCCGGAAGCGCTCCCGCCGCGGCCTCATCAGGGGTGCATTCGTGGGGTAAACTTATGTGCATCAGGATTGTGCTGGATCTGACAAGAACATAGCTGAGTGCATATTGTGAAAACATGCAAGCTGAGTGTGTGCTACACAGCATTTGGCTTGCAAACTGTTTGTGAGGATCTGATTTAGGTCTGGTGTCTCCTGCTATGGAGTTTGGTCGGCCTTTGTCACTAGATGGTTTGGCCAATGAGTGGGAGAACTTAGAAGCATTGCGCAGCCACATGCGCGAGAACCACCGGCTATTCCAGTCGTGTGCCGGCAAGCCGAACTTCGATCCTGCTTGTCATGTCAAAGAGGCAGCACTCAACGAAGCCGTGTTGACCCCCCTTCTGCTGCGTGTGAACCGTTACCGTGACATCGATGGCACAACCAAGCTGTTCACGATCAAGCAAGTTGAGCAGCAGTGTTTTGGTGAGCATTGGAGACATCATGTAATAAGGTTATACAAATTAAAACACTGAAGTACTGGATTATAGCTTTTGTGTTTGGGCTGTGTTGCTCGAAATAGAATTCCTAGTAACCTAGCAAGGATCTCGCGGCTGCATACACTTCTGATCCCGGGCCGTCAGCCCGAGAAGCTCGACGTGAAGAAGGATGCGTGGCTGTGCAAAGGCTTTGTGGTTTTGGTGAAACGCAAAAAGAGCCGTGGACACAAGGCTAGGAATCCTGCTTTTCAGCGGCTGATGAACCTCTTGCAGAACCAGGACTGAGGTTAACAAGAAATGTACAAGAAGCCACCATAAGACTGACCGCATATGTAGAATCGCATGCATATAATTATGAGATCATACTTGTACCGCAGGATGGCTCCGACGATGATGCCGCCCTGAGCGGAGACGACGATGATGATGATGAGGACGGGGGCCGTGGTGGCTCGAAAGCCATGGTAGTGGCTTGTGAAGCGGCTGATGATGATGCCGGTTCGCCCGACCGTGTCGAGGCAGATGCAGCCATCGAGGACGAGGATGAGGGAGCGGAGAGTGACATGATCATGCTTTCGGATGAGGAGGTGTTGGGTGATGAAAAGCATCCATTTCAGGTGCTGCTGGATGAAGAGGCGGCCGAGGCAATGGAGCAAAAGCTCCCTGCGGAGGGCCCAGCGGTCCCTGGGAATGAGGTGAGCTTGGATCCGTCGGAAGATTCCCAGCTGGAGACGAAGATTGGTTCGCAGGGGCAGAAGCTTTATTGCATCGAGGATGAGACGCCTCCTCGCAAGGCCAAGAAGCAGCGCTTTGCAGAGGATTCAAGCCCGCACCGTAAATTCAAGGAGCTTAGCGAAAAGCTACGCCTTTTGAAACTGAAGCAGTCCCAACGGAAGCTCTGGATAAGTTAGAAATGGTTCCATGTTTTGAGGTGGATTTGTAGTGTAAATAAAACACATGCTTGCAATCTGTGGGTGTCTATCCCTCACCTCCTCAGGGCGAAGGGCTGGGTAAGCCTCGCTGCCGTTGAGGGTGTCGCTTTGCCAGGACGGATAGAGTTTTGCAAGACCTTTTGATTGGGAACGGCTGGTGCAAGAGTATTACTATTGTTCCAATAAAAGTGTATGTGCATGTGCAAATATACACTATGTAAGTGGTTTCTATAATACAAGCTCTATATTCATGTTTGTCTTGCGAAGCAGAGACTGTGACAGAGAGAGAGAGAGAGAGAGAGAGAGAGAGAGAGAGAGAGAGAGAGAGAGAGAGACAGAGAGAGAGAGAGAGAGAGAGAGAGAGAGAGGGAGAGGGAAATAGAGAAAGATAGAGATGTAGCGGGAGAGAAAGAATGTAGAGGGAAAAACAAATCTTTTCACGCAGGAGCAGCAGGCTCCGGATCCTCGTCTTCCTGGGAGGGTGGCCAGGACACGCAGGTTGTGGAGAACGATGTGATGGACGAGCTTGCTGACAAGTTTCGCAGAGCGAATGCTGCGATTGATTTGGCAAGCCAGGGCGACCCATCGGGCTGCGATGAGCCTGGTTTGGTTCACAGATTGCACACAGCCCTAAGTGCAGATGAGAGTGTGAGGAGGGAGAGAGGGAGAGAGAGATTCGGGAGATTTGTGTGGAGGGTTTACTGGCGGGTTTTACGTGGACAATTAAGGTTTGGATTCGGGGTGTAATAAGTGATCCTGCTAAACACTTTGCACATGAAATTGAGGTCACTCGCCGCGAGCAGCTGTCGAAGAAGGCCAAGGTTGCCGAGGAGAAGAAGAAGAAACAGGAGGAGAACAAAGAGCAGCAGACAGAGAAGAAAAAAAACAGAAAAAGGGTGCACAGAAAAGCAGCGAGCCTTCCTGTGTGCCCGAAGTGCCTCCTGAGGCTGAAGCTTCCTCTGCTCCCGAGGTTTCTGCTGAGAGAAAGCCCGCCAACAAGACCACAGGGAAAGCAAAGGCTAAGGCGGCTAAGGCAAAGGCGAAAAGCAAGGCCAAGAGCAAGGCTAAGAAGGCCCCGTCATCCGGAGAGGTTATCCCCGAAGCATCCGAAGAGGTTATCCCCGCAGCATCCGAAGAGGTTATCCCCGAAGCATCCGAAGAGGTTATCCCGCCAGCATCCGGAGAGGTTATCCCGCCAGCATCCGAAGAGGTGACCCGTGATCCCAAGCCCACGGCGAAAGCCAAGCCATCCAGCAAGCGCAAGTCTCCAACCAAGTCGAACGATCAGCCGCTGAAGCCAGGCAAGAAGACGGGAGGGTCAGGACGGGTCAAGCTGGAGCGAAGTGGCGACAGCAAGGTTCCGGTGACTTTCGCCCGCCGGTACATGCCTGACAAGCCCGGCTACTCACGAGAGCGATGGAACGCCATCCGCATTGCCTTCAATACGAATGTGCACAAGCGGTTAGACTCCCCATCCAAGCATGAGGACATTTGCAGATTTCTAGCAGCTATAGCAACTGACACATGTATTTTTGCTGTTGGTTCCTTTGCAGGTGTTTGTGTCCTTTGCAATTCATATATAAACAAACAAGTTTAGAGAGTACCACTTCATTTCAGAGTTGATTCGAGTGGTGCTGTGTGTTGACGAAGCCACTTACTTGGGCAGGACTTGTTCTGGAAGTTCTGTGTCAACGACTGGGAGGCCAGAGGTCTGCAGCCGACGGAGGACAACATGCGCCAGCTAGCCATGGACAGCTCCCTCGGCTATCTGATGACGCTGGGGTTCAATGTGATTCCGCAGGTCTGAGCAAAAGCAGTCCGTTAGTGTGTGCCACAAGGTGGCTTCGATCTGTAGGTGGAGCGCTGGCTTACCATGCGCACTGTGAGCTTTCTCTTTCTGTGTGGGGCCACACATGTCAGAGATTTTGGCTTTTATTCCTTTCGAAAGCAGATAGGGGAGCAACTTTTGTTCATTGGATCTATACAGATTCTCCTGCTTGGTTGTGGTGCCTTGCAACAGCATACTATGTTAAGATTAGCATAATAGCTCGTTTCTTGTGAACAAACGACCCCGCTGTGAGGCGCCGCCCGAGTAGGATTAGGGATCTGTAAAAGGGTTTCGTCCAGTGTGGTGCAAAAGCTAGGCAGCCTCTCGCGACAAAAGGGCAAACAGCATGCTGCGACTGTGGCTGCATGTGTGTGTCTGAACTCTGCATGGAGCACATGCGTCGATTCATGTCCGTTCGCATCACCGGGACCCCATAATCCCTTAATCAGTCTGAACCTTAATTCCCTTGCCTTCCCAGGTCTTCGATGGCATGGCGAGCTCGACTGCAGCGTGGGGGCCAAGCCGAGCAGAGGAATCGCGAAGCCTTCATGTTTCATATTTCAGCTTTGCATTCAATGCATCCAGTGGAGAGTGTGACTGCGCAGCTTCATGTGTGCGGTGCGAACGCATGCCAGACATTTGTGTGCACTTGTTCACAGCTGCTTCATGGGTTTTTAATGCAATGTACCGGTCATGGGGCTCCTATAGGTTCCTACAACCCAAGTATAATTTGAGGCTTTATATAGTTTAGTATGTTTGCAAGGCCAGGGTTCCTGGCTTTGGGTTGGTGGGGTCTCAGTCTTCACTGAGTCTATATATATATATATACTAGATCGAATATATAAAACTTACTCTAGGTAGACTTTGCAGGAATCGATGAAGTTATCTTGGCTCGCTCAGTTCTGATGACTTGTATGGTTGATCAGATTCTCTCGACAAACAATTGCTACTTCGGATCTGTTTCGCTA